ACTTGTAACTTTCAAAGATACTGTCCCTCACAGCACCCTTATGGACAAGTTGTCCAGTTGCGGGATGCATGAATAACTGGCTGAAAGGCAGAACTCAGAGGACTGAAGTGAATGGGGCTATATCTGGCTGGCAACTGCTCACCAGCAGTGTTCTCCAGGGTTCAATTCTAGGGTCATTTCTGTTCAATACATTTATCAATGTTCTGGATGCAGGAGCTGTAAGCACCATTAACAAGTTTGCTGATGATACCAAACTGGGAGGTGCTGTTGACTCCCTTGAGGGACAGAAGGCCTTGCAAAAAGATCTAGATAGACTGGAGCATCAGGCAATGATTAATGGGATGAAATTTAACAAGTACAAATGCTGGATCCTGCACTCAGGATGGAGTAACAGCAGGCATAAGTATAAACTGGGAGAAGAGTGGCTGGAGAGCAGCCCTACAGAAAGAGATGCGAGGTCCTCGTCAGCAGCAGGCTCAACAGGAGTCAGCAGTGTGCCCTGGCAGCCAAATGGGCAAACCACAACCTGGGGTGAATAAAACATAGCACAAACAGATGGTCAGAAGAAGTGATTATCCCTCTGTATTCAACATAGGTGCAAGCTCATGTTGAGCACTGTGTGAAGTTCTGGGCCCCACAATTTCGGAAGGAGGTGAAGATTCTTGACTGTACCCAGACAAGAGTAACAACTGGTGAGAGGGCTAGAACGCATGTCCTGTGAGGAGTGGCTGAGGACTTTGGGCTTGTCAAGTTTAGAGAAAAGGAGGCTGAGGGGCAACCTCATTGCTCTCGACAGCTTTCTGAGAAGGTGGAGAGGTGCTGAGCTCTTCTCCTTGGAATCCAGTGATAGGACACATAGGAATGGCACAAAGCTGAGCTAGGGGAGGTTTAGTTTGGATATTAGGAAGCATTTATTGCCAAGAGGGTGATCAAACACTGGAACAGCCCTCCTAGCAAGGTGTTCAATGCCCAAGCATGCCAGTGTTAAGAGGCATTTGGACAATGCCCTTTACACCGTGTTTAACTTCTGGTCAGCCTGGAAATGGTCAGGCAGTTGGACTAGAAGATTGCTGTAGGTCCTTTCCAACAGAAATATTCCAGTCCAGTCCAGTCCAGTCTATTCTATTCTGTTCTGTTCTGGTTCTAGTTCTATTCTACTGCTGTTCTGTTCTGTTTTCTGTTCTGTTTCGTTCTGCTCTGGAAATAAGCTTCACAACACCCATGGGAACCAAGTAAACAATTCACTATGTATTGCGGTAAAGCATCCATCTTTTTACAGGGTTATAAAGTTTCTAAACAAACATTATACTGAAAAATCATAGATGGGAAATAAAGAACAAAAGTGAACTAAATATCAGAATGAATAACTGGCCTATGCTTTAGGCTATACTTTAACTTGCAGAAAGTGCATGAGTTCATGAATGATCCTAAAAATTCAGAACCTCAGTGGCTGAGTTTATATCAACATTTGGAAAGAGAAGAAAACATGCTAAAAGACCAATGTGTTGTGACATGGGATCATCTATGGTGGATTCCACTAATTTTCTTCTCCAGTTTCCCATCCAGGTATTGACACAACGCAAATGCACTCAGGCAAAATTAGAACATAAAAGAGCTTTGTCATAGTAAGTAAATTGTAGTACTGAAATGGAGCCCAAAAGATGTATATTTTAACTAAATATATTTTATATTCATTGAGCTGGCAGCATCCACTTGTGTCTTTCTGTTTTTCCCATACTTTACAACTTGAAAATAATAAGTGATAGGCATACCATTGCACAAAGACATAAATAGCCATAAACCAGACGAAGTTCTGGAGATGCACTGGCAATGGTGGGATACTTCAATTTGAAACCATAATTTTAAATTGAAAATTTAAAATGCTTGACATATTTCTTGATGATGTTTGATCCTGTAATGTTTCGATAAGTATATGTTTGTGTTGTGATCAGGTTAAAAATAGATGAAGAAATACATATTACAGACTTACATGACAAAGCTAAATTAAAAGTTCATTATGACACTAATGCTGTTACTGTATCCAGACTCAGATTATTTTTGTTTCTTTTCTGATTCTGAGATAATTTATAGTAATATTCTTCATTCTATTTACATGCCTGTTAATACTGTGTCTGACACCCTGTAATTTATATTTATCCTCAGACCCATCCATTGTTACCCTCCTCAATCTGTTCCAGATTAAAAGAAAGATTAAATGACTCCCAGGCTTATTTCTCAGCCACCTTCCTCTTAAACCTCACCTTAAGCCCAGTTGCATTGCCTGATATGTGTCTTATTTGGCACACTTATTACTTCCCCCCCAATAACATTTTTTTTTTAAACATATAAACTGATTGATAATATCTGTTTTAAATGTCAGAAAACTATCATGATGACTCCTTCACTTACATTAAGTTGAATATTAGAGACAAGACTTGTAAATAATGATGATGCGAAAAAAATATTATGCAATGTCCATAAAGGTGTTTATCTTCTTGCAAATGTTTAAAGGATCACAGTCTAAATAGCATTATTTTTACAGCTCTGTTGTCTAAAGCAAAACAAGTGCCATGGAAAATTTCCTACAACAATAAGTTATGAAACTTGTGCCGTTATATTTGCTTCATGCATTTATACTTCAGTTTTACTGACATTTGATTAACTTCAGTTGCTTAACATCAACTTTAGTGCTACGTTATTTAGAATTATTGTTTTACACATTGTAAGTTTTTATATATTTCAGATTACATTATAGGTTTTTACTGGCAGCTCTTGAAAGAAGTAATTTATAAGGTTAGAAAGGTATGACTATTTCCTTAGCCTCCCTCATATGCATAGTCATAACATGAGAAATCTACAGCCCTTAACTCCCCATGTTATGCACTTGAACAACAGTGGGTGAAGAAGTTACATCAGGAGTGTTTCCAGTGGAGGCTGAGTGGCAGAAGATCAAAGCTGGCATTAGGGATGAAAATGTTTTGGTAATCATTGCATCCTGGTGTAGAGGCTAGGCAGACAAGTGCTCCTGAAACCAACTGTACTCATATGCTGGCTTGTGAAAAGTACCTTTTAAACTTTTTTATCTGAAAGAGTTTAAAAAAAGATCACCAAAACCAACATCATCTACTGATTCCAAGGAGGGTACTCAGCATTTACTGAGGGTGAATGACTCTTTTTCATTCTCTCCTCAGGACAAGACAACTGAGAAGATATAACAGTTTACTGCTGCCTTTGTAACCCAATTTATCTCAGTAACCCTGCAGTATCCTATTCCTTTTAAGTAGGGTTTTGTTTTGGTTTTCCAGATTAGAAAGCTGAATTGACCCACTGAGTCAGATAAGCACCTAAGCTAACAGAAAGGTAGTGGAAAAATCTTGCAGCCCAGACTGGGGACTGGAGAGTGGTGATAGAACTGGCTGTTAGAGACTCAGATGTGCATCTTCTATGCTTAACACCTGGCTACAGTTAGTGGGGATACATGCTGGTTTTGAGGCTAACACTTTTTTCTTCTGTAATTCCAAGACTAACAATATGATCAGATTTCTAAATTATATTAACACCCCCCAACAACAACAAAAAAAAACCAACACAAAAAAGCCCACCCAAACCCAAACAAAAAACCCCAGGGGCACATGGAAGGGGCAAGAGAAGAGGTTTGTAAGAAGGCATATTATTCAGATGATAAAACCAGAACTGCTGACATTTGCATACAGATAACACAACAGTACAAAATATGATATTGTAAATAGAAAGCCGGTCAATGTTTTTTTAATTAATTTGTTATACTGAAACTGTACAATCATAGAATTATAGAATCATAGAATAATTAGGGTTGGAAAGGACCTTAAGATCATCTAGTTCCAACCCCCCTGCCGTGGGCAGGGACACCTTACACTAAATCATATCACCCAAGGCCTTGTCCAACCTGGTCTTGAACACTCCAATTGCCCCCTCCTCTGCAAAACAGCTGCAAAATAAAATTGCCATCTGTATTACACTGATCCATCAAAAAAAAAGAAAGATAACAAAAGAAGTGAATATACAGATAACAATTTCCCTGAAAAGAATCTCAACTGAAGTACTAGCATTGGCACAAATTAATTCTTTTCCCAAACACATAAGAGCATTGTCCACTTTGTTGTAGTATTTGAATAAAATCTAGTCTGCTTTAATGTCAATAAAACCAATAACTAACTCAAACCCACACCTACGCCAGTCACAAATGATACCATACTTCAGGTCTTTTTCCCAGTGTTATAATTTGAAGGGGAAATGGGCAGAAGATAAAAGTGCGTACATGACTGACTACTAAACTAACTGAGCTTCTGCTCACGATGACAATGGAGCAGACTTGGTACTATATTATCATAGAATCATAGAATAGTTAGGGTTGGAAAGGACCTTAAGATCATCAAGTTCCAGCCCCCTGCCATGGGCAGGGACACCTCACACTAAAATTATCTGCCGCATAACATTTTTGCTTCCAGTCCGTGCCCTTTCAAAGGTAAACGGAAAGGCTTAGTTTCTTCTCATGCCTCTCTCTAACATTTTACTTGGCTTCAGCAACAGATTTCTTAGCATAAAAATGAATGTATCATCACTTAATATTCTGAAACAGAATTTTTGTGTCCAGAGACCTCCATAAATGAAGTAAATTTCAAAACCAAACACCATTAGCTTACTAGTTGAAGTATAAAATCAACAGATTTTTCAGCTTCTCTTACACCACCCACAGCTTCTGCATAGCTTATGGCACTCACCGGACCAAAAACACATCAACAACAATCATTATATAGTGCTTACTGAAAATCCCTGACCATGAAATAGCATGAATTCAAAAATATCTGTTGTCTTTGTACACAGCTAATACTGTCATTACAGATGAATCCATGGAATGCCATTACTCCACACTTCTTTTGTTCATTACCAGTTTTTAATGAAGTTTAAAAAAAGTTTAAACTTTTTTAATAAGTTTAAAGATATCAGTGAAAAGGGCTTACCCTTGCTTTCTGCTCCATCTCCATCATTAATCTTTCATGTTGCTCTGCTATTGCCAGTGTTGCGGAATGGACTTTCTGATATATCATTTCTCCTTCTCGTGTCTGAAAGGTGAACAGCCCTTCTCCTGTGTCACACATCCTGTAGTGAGATTTAAACAGAATGGAAAGTAAAAAAATGAGCATTATGTAATTTTTATCTAACTATTACAAAAAGTGCACACCTTGCAGTAGGAAATTCCAGCTTTTGTAGTTAAACTCTGGAATTCTGAGCATCTGCAGTTATTTTTACCATTGAAGAGAGGCATATTACAGCAGATGTGCTGAACTTCATGAACATAACCTTTAAATTCAGTTTTAATCATCATCTGGGTAGTGAGAAAGAAGTTTTAGCATAGAATAAAAACTTGAATACAGTCAGCTATTTCCAGCATTGTTTAAAATGTCTGCACATGTAAGAGGGAGCAAAATTTTATTCTCTAAACCAATTCCAGCCAGAAGTGTAAAGCACATCAGGACTTAGAAAAGCTGATATTTGAAGAGAACAGTGACCAAATAAAAATGTTATGGTTAATTGCTACAAAGAAGTGATTATGAAAGACATTTTAAGTAATGAAAGACAGCATTAAGAGGGTTAAATTATAACTGTCTCTGTTAGTGCAGTTATGTGAGGCAGTGTCTAAAGCTACCTTGATACTTACAAAAGCCATTCAGTCTATTTGACAATAGGAAGAGTATTTCTATAGTAAAAGAAGATTAAATAGTGAAAAAAAAATCCCAGAAAAAAAAAATTTAATTTCTTCTTTTGAAAGAACAACTGCTGTTACCCTTATCTGTGATATCGATGTAGCATTATTCTGTGGAAGAAAAGTGGTACATGGTAATGCAATGACAAAGAGGGCTGGGAAATACAGCAAATGGGAAGAGACAACAATGTTAGGTTATTGAATGACCTTCACACAGAAATCAGGAGGCAAATTGCTGAGCATTTTAGAAAAATGTGTCCTGAGTAGTCTAACATTCTAGCAGGTTTTTAAATAACAATATCTTTACAGTTTACACCCCAGATTCTGTATGATTATTCATACATTGAATTTTAAAAATGTTTTCCCATCAAATGAACATATAGATCTATGATATTTTAATTAAATAATCATTTGAATATGTCTCTGGCTATGTTACATGCACACACTATCATATTACAGTTTCTTGAAAATAGAATAATGCTTTTCATGAGACATTTTTTTGTCAAATTACAATACAGCTTCCCACAAAATTTTATTTCAAAACTCGGTTGAACAGGACTATTGTGCTACAGAAGAGAGTACTGAGAGCTCAGCAGTTGCTTTTGATTTCAAGGCTGACCACTGAAGATAAAACCTTATTAACACTTACAAAATCTTTGTCTGTCATTGGAGGAGACATGCTTTTGTGAGACTCCTATAAAGAACTTATGCATAGCTACGTGTGAGAAGAACAGAAAGTACTGAAGGCGGAAACAGAGAAAAGAGAGGTGCTTCTGGAAACTACCTGGTGAAAATACTTAGTAATGAGGTGTGGAAAAGAAAGTCATAGTCTTAAGAATAGATGATTCATAATATTATCCATATGAAGATTATCCATAATTCTGGAATGAAAATAGTCTTCTCCATCCCAAGATGTAGAGAAAATACAATGTATTTTGGATACAGGAATTATTTGATCAGTATTAATGTGATGTACTGATTAATAGATTAAAAAAAACTCCAACTTTTTTATTAAATTCCAACAGAGATCAATATCCCTGCTGTGAATATTTAAGATACTTTATATCCTTTGCCACAGTCCTCCAAAGAGCTTCTGGTAGAAATAAAATGTCTCCAGAGTTTTGCAACATTACGGCAACAGCTTTTCAGATCCCTCAGGGCATCATATAGCTGGTACTCTCCTTTTGTGCAAAGAGATCTTAATAAAATTCAAACAGCGTGAAATGGAAAGTCTGGAAAAAATTAGAAGGCTTCAGAAACTGAAGCAAAATATGATCTCTTTGTTGGTTCCAGAGGATGAAAAATCCTACAGGGATAAAAACAAGGAAACAGGAAATGGGGCATGATTAAGATTCAGGAGATAAGCTGTGTGTTTTGACAGAGCAAAACCTAATTGCCACCACTGCTGATCAGACTAGGGTCTGTACCACCTTCACGAGCCATGCGTGGAGCCAGCAGTGCAGGCTGTGGAGGTGCCCCAGCACCTCACCCACTGCACAGGACAGCACTGCAGGGGCCTGTTTCCCCACAGCAATGGGTGACTGTGGTGGACATGTCAAAGAAATGCTGGAAAATCATAGATGACAGCCTCCCTGTGTCTGCACTGTGGGCTTCCCTGGCTAATGATGGATGACATACATGCAGCCAATCCCTCTCCTCCTTCTCTTTCTCCTTCTTTTTCTTTTTCCCTCTCACCTTGCCTCCTCTCCTTCCCTTTTTCCTTTCCTCTTTTCCTTTTCCCTTTTCCCCTTCCCCTTTCTCCTTCCCCCTTCCTTTGCCTTGTCTTCCCTTCTTTTCCCTTTCTTCTCCTATTCCCTCTCCCTCTCTCTCCTTCTCCTCCCTTTCCCTTCTTTCCCTTTTCCTTTCCCTTTAGTTTTTTCACCTTTCCCTTTCCTTCTCCTTTCTGTTCTAGTCTGTTCTTTTTTCTGTTCTGTTCTTTTTTTTTCTGTTCTATTATTTTCTATTTCCTGTTCAGTTCTATTCTAGTTATGACACGAAGATCAGTTGCATGTTTTAGGGTTAGCTTCAGTCTTTCTTTCTAGGGCAAGGAAACAAACTAAAATAGAAGCACTCTAAAGCATGATGGAGATGGGGCCAGGCAAAGGGGTAAGTGTGCTCTTGTAAGCTTAAGAGTTTTGCCAAAAAAAACAAAGGCCTTTTACTTATCTGGGTACAGGAATGGACAAGCCCATAAGTTGAAGCGCAATTCTTGGCTTGTTCTATTTACAGTCAAAATATAGCCAGAAAAACAAAGAAACTCTTTTCTTTACAGCCTTCTCTGCTGCCAGGTAACTGTCCATTTAAAGCTACAGTTTCAGGTTTAGCCTTGATAATGCATTGCTTTATTATGAGTAAAAATAAAATAATTGAAGGTAAATATTTTTTTTCTATGTTTAGTGCAGATATGATTGTTCAGCTGCTAATTTATTAACATCTTCATAACTTTTGTACAACCTATAATCACTTTAGAGAAAAGACACAACAAAGATGTGGGCCTCTTCTTCCCCTGATGCTGCTGCAGTTATGCACCACAGGTCTACCAACTCAGTATGACCTTCACTGTCAAGAAACTTCACTGATTTTGTATACTTAAATTTTTCTATGAGAGACTTAACTGTCTGTGGACGCTTGAAAAGTGCTGATATTAGGTTGTCTATTTCTGTGTTTTCCAACTTTAAAACAGGAATGTTATTAACCTATGCTTTAGGATATTTAAGGATTCAATACATTAAAATGTATCAAGTGCTTTGACAGAAATAGGAGAGTGCATTTTTTTCTATGTTATTAAAGATTGATATAACTGGGCAGATAACAAAACTAGCAGGTAAACCAATAATAAGTTTTACTTCTTAAAATACTTGCATAGCTTTTCACAATCATCATTAGCAGATCTGGCTCAAGAGCCAGAGTAAGGAATAGGAAGAACATGAGAGCTTGTGGCCCAGAAACTGGTGAAAGAGATCAACAGTGAAAGTTCTTGCTTTTACTCAAAGGTAGAGCTTCTGTTCAGGCCAAAGAGATTTTCCCATCAGTACTGCCAGATTTTTTTCAGCATTTCCCAACTTCCTGTGAGGTTTCCCACTGGTCAGTACAGTAACTTCATCTTTTAGAGCAGAATCAAGACTATATATTAATTATATATTTACCTCGTAGAATTCCCTTCAAAAAGGAAACTGTTGACTACCATTTATGAGCGGCACCTTTTGCCAATTAGAGGTTCATGCTCTCCTGTCATAGTTGAAATATTTTGAAAGTTTAATGGTGCAATATTCAGCAACTGCATAAGAGGACAGGAATTTGACATCTCAGCTTCATTTCACTACTTCAGTTAAGGGTAAAATTCATTTTCACAATAATGAAGGTTGTCTGAAAACTAAGATGCATAGAAACATTATTTTCTATAAGGCATTGTTTTAAAATAAAGGATAAATGATCATTGTAACCAGAAAAAAAATAGTTCTTCATATATCTAAATCTAAATTTTAATGTATTTGAACGGCTTCTTTTTACCCACAAGTAGTTTAGCAGTAAAGAAATAATGGCTGTCGTATACTCAAAAGTATGTAAAGTTACATGCAAATGATTCATTAAAAAGGTAAAGATCGTTAAGTAGGCCCTGAAAAAAACAACCTAAAATGTTTATTATTAGTAATTATGGCTATTAATAGCTAATACATGATAACTAGCTGGTACCCTAGTTTAACATTTACAGTTCTTTGAATAAAAAGGAACTTTATTTTTTTTAAATGAGAACATATCATGAATAGGTGTTGTCCAGTAATCAGAGTGCTAAAATTTAACAGTACCAAACTGGATGTAACTGCTGTTCCATAGTCTGCACCTGATGAGTGAAAAATTATTTCCTTTAAACAGTGAAGCTGATTACTCAGATACTTCAAGGCCCAGAAATGAAGACATGTAGTGCTTATTTGCTGATCACAGTATCACAGTATCACAGTATGTTAGAGATTGGAAGGGACCTCGAAAGATCATCTAGTCCAATCCCCCTGCCGGAGCAGGAACACCTAGATAATGTTACACAGGAATGCGTCCAGGCGGGTTTTGAATGTCTCCAGGGAAGGAGACTCCACAACCTCCCTGGGCAGCCTGCTCCAGTGTTCCGTCACCCTCACTGAGAAGAAGTTTCTTCTCAAGTTTAAGTGGAACCTCTTGTGTTCCAGTTTGTACCCATTACCCCTTGTCCTATCATTGTTTGCCACTGAGTAGAGCCTGGCTCCGTCCTCGTGACACTCCCCCTTTATATATTTATAGACACTGATAAGGTCACCCCTCAGTCTCCTCTTCTCCAAACTATAGAGACCCAGCTCCCTCAGTCTTTCCTCATAAGGGAGATGCTCCACTCCCTTAATCATCTTCGTTGCCCTGCACTGGACTC